CCCCCAAAATACCAAAAAATTGGGGTACCGTTATATGGGGACTACCAGAAAAACTAGAGCTATATTTATAATTTTTAGTGGAGTAATTTGGTACCCAATAAGAACCCAATGTACAAAATTTCAGAGAATTCAGTTATAAAACAAGCCCAAGAACCCAAAAATACCGAAAATTGGGGTACCCTTATTGGGGGCTATCCGAAAAAATGGACATTTATTTTTAATTTTTGGTAGGGAGATTTGCTACCCAATGAGAACACAAAGTACCAAATTTCAGCAAATTCGGTCGAAAAATGCTATCAAAACCCCCAAAATACCGAAAATTGGGGGTAATCTTATATGGGGGCTATCCGAAAAAATTGACCTTTATTTATAATTTTTGGTAGGGAGATTTGCTACCCAATAAGAACTCAATGTACCAAATTTCAGCGAATTCAGTTAAAAAACGCGCTCAAGAACCTCAAAATACCGAAAATTTGGGGGTACCCTTATATGGGGGCTATCCGGAAAAATTGACCTTTATTTATAATTTTTGGTAGAGAGATTTGCTACCCAATAAGAACTCAAAGTACCAAATTTCAGCGAATTCAGTTAAAAAACGCGCTCAAGAACCTCAAAATACCGAAAATTTTGGGGTACCCTTATATGGGAGCTATGCCTAAACGTGGACCGATTTTCTCCAATTTCAATAGGTTTCGTCCTTGGGCCAATTAAGTGACCTGTGCCAAATTTCATCCAAATCGGATCATAAATGCGACCTGTACTTTGTTAACAAAAATACATGGACGGACGGACGGACAGACAGACGGACATGCATAAATCGACTCAGAAAGTGATTCTATGCATATTCTCAAAAGGAACCATGGGTCTATCTCGATTATTTTTGCCTGTTACAAACATATGCACAAAGACATAATACCCTGTACCACAGCGTGGTGAAGGGTATAAAAATAGCGCCTAAAAGTATACATCATACACTTAATAAAATAGAAAATGAGTAGCATGTATAAAGATCAATCCAGTGATATAATATATTCATTAGATCAGTCCTCTGTTGCTGAGAAAGTTTTTTTTATAGAAAACAGTAACAGAGATTTTTTTTTTAGAAAGAAATCAGTTCCCTGTGACAGGTATTTTGACACCACTTCTTGGAAACGGAAACAGTTGTCATAAGAAAATAAAAAATAGTACTCAACGATGGAGGAATTGTCTCCACAAACCGGTACTAACGATTGAAGATTTTTCTATACATAAAGAAAAAGTTCACATTTTTCCATGGATTCTTCTGGTCCATATTTGATGTCAGAAAATTAAATTTTTACGAAAAATTAATTGACCGCTTATAAAATCATTATCATTCGCATATACTAGTATTGCGCCTAAAAGTAAACATCACACATTAATCAAAAATAAGAAAGGAGTTATTTGGGAAAGTTTTCCAACGGAAAAGGGTAAATTCTGAATAGGAATTGTCTCTATAAAAACGGTAATATGTTGAATGAAATTTTAAAATTGGTGTTCATCAGCTAAAAATTTTTGTTTTTATTTGAGCAAATTGTTATTAAGCCTAAAAATATGCAGCACACTACATAAATACATGTTGAATATATTAATAACTATGATATTTTTTGATCTATCGGAACCCTTCAATACCGAACGAGGATTCAGACAAGGTGACAGTTTGTCGTGTGATCTTTTTAACATCCTGCTGGAAAAGGTCATACGAGATGCAAAGATGAACAGAAATGACACACTGTACACCAAACAACACATGTTAGCCGTCTATGCCGATGACATCGATACAATTGGTCGAACATTGCGAGCGGTAACAACCACATTTGAACAATTTGAAAAGGAGTCTGCCAAATTGGGCCTGGCAGTAAACGGTGAGAAGACCAATCTGATGGTATCAACGCGCAAGATGTGTTGAACGAAAGTTCGGTCACAAGCCAGCTAAGTAAGAAAGGAAGTAAGATTTCTAAAATCTGACTGATATTTTTCTGAATTATTCAATTTCATATTCACGTGCATTGATTCGGTCATCTGTTACGAAAACAACTAGTCTTTAGCAAAGAAAATAAACTATTTAATCATGTACCCATTATTTATTCGAAACGCCTAAAAGTATACATCACACATAAAAACAATTGTTGGACAATACCCTAATTTAATTTAACGATTAAATCGATTCCTTTTTATTCCTCTTTTTATACCACATAGATTGCGCAAGATATGAATCAGATATTATCGGTTAATAACGCACCTAAAAATATGCAGCACACATCATAAAAAATTGTTTCAAATCACAATAACTGAGTAAATACTGACATAAATTGGAGATTCTATAGCTCAGGCAAAGAAAATTCAAACTTCTCAGTCATTGAGGGTTCCTAGCTATCATCAAACCATCTAATAAATTTATTCCCATTTTTTATTTTATTTTTTGGTTTGCTGGTATCCTCTTCCCGCCCTCTTCTCCGTCGATTATATTTCGAAAAGTAAACTAATATGATAGAATTTATTTCTTTGTTATTGTTTATCTTTGTATGCTAATTATTTTTTTCTCTTCAAAACTTTTCAATGAGAGACTATGTGATGTCATTTATTACTAAGCCCTTGGCCTCAAAATTTTGGGGGTTGGGATTTTAATTTGTAATTCAACAAAACCAATACAATAAATTCCGAACAAATAATTTGTTTGTTGTTTGTCAAATATTTTCTTGTCTTCAAGGACTTGAGGGCTTTTCTGTTGTCCATGAAATTCATTGACATTGACAACAGACAATCCCATCATCATCATCATCGCCTACACCTAAGACTGGGGCCATGACCAGCTAGCGAATACCAGCACTTTGCAATTCTGTTCGACTTGGCCATGTTTGTTTTTGTTCTACTAGGTAGGACTCACAAAATGCTCGTCCTTAACAAAGACATTATTTATTATTTGAATAAGTGTTGCTAGAGTAACACACGAACAACAACAGCAACAACTACACTTCATTGTCTTTGGCTCCTTTTATTTTCTTCAGTTTTGTACTTTCAAGGATAAGTACAAAATGCCACCCAATAGAAGAGACAACAAAACTTTATTTACCCTGCCATTCGGAATTGGACATTTGGGCAAAAGGGGAGAAAGATTTCACTTTTGAAAGTAACAAAAAAAATATTTCTGTGTGCGTGTGTTTGCCTTTATTTTAGCCAAGGTCATTACTAATGTTGTTGGCTGTGAAATTTCTCGATTTAATGTATGGTTCGGTTCGTTTTTTGTTCGTCGTCTGTTGTAAATTAGATAATAAATTTACTTATTTTTTTTTTGTTCTTCATTTACTTTGTACTTGACATTCTGTGTTTTTTTTTCAGTTTCGAAGTCCTTTCATTTCTCTGGTTCAGAAAAATTTATTATTGATATTATGGCCATAAACACAATAGGCTAATTCCTTTGCCAAGGCCAATATTTAAATTGTCCATAAAAATAAAAATATTGGCATATTTTTATTGACGAGCCTTTCCACTTATTCTTCTAAAATAACAGCTAATACGAAATCTGAATATTTTCCTTTTTTATTTTGGCTTTTTTTATTTATGCCTTGGAGCCAAAGCATAGCTACAATTATGGAAATACTACTCAATTGTTTGTTTTGTGAATGTGTGGTGCATACTTTTAGGCGCAATATTATGCTAAAACATCTGATTCGTGTCTATTGTAATCTCAGTATTTCAAAAACGAGCATATATTAGCTAGAATAAATATTTACATTTATAATGTGGAAATTGTAGAGACTTGTTTTAATGTGTGATGCATACTTTTAGGCTCAGGAAAAACGAGTTGCATACAAAAGGGAACTACACCCATAATAATCAACCTTTGGTTGCTAAAAATTATCTGTAACTATTTTCAATGGTCCCAAATTCAAGCATTTTTCGAAAATTCCTAAGGATACTGATTTTTTTTTCTATACAACAAAGTGGCTTTCCCCAAGGTCTTGAATTTTGTTATATATAAAAAACTCAGCACATAAGTCTCCTGAATTATTTACAAAAAAAGCCTCAGTGTCCAAGGGTTCCGAATTTTTCTATAGAAAAAAGATCAGAGAATTAAATTAAATTAAAAATTCTATAGAAAAAATTCAAGACCCTTGGGTCGGCGGTTTTTCTCTATAGAAAAAAATTCAAGACCCTTGGATTGGATTGTTTTTTCGGCAGTTTTTTTCTATAAAAAAATTAAAGACCCTTGGGTCGGCGTTTTTTCTATAGAAAAAAATTCAAAACCCTTGGTTCGGCGGTTTTTTCTATAGAAAAAAATGCAAGACCCTTGGGTCGGCGGACCCTTGATCGGCGGTTTTTTTTTCTATAGAAAACAAATTCAAGAACCTTGGCGGTTTTTTCCTATAGAAAAAATTCAAGACCCTTGGGACGTCGGTTTTTTTTTCTATAGAAAAAATTCAAGACCCTTAGGTCGGCGGTTATTTTTCTATAGAAAAAAATTCAAGACCCTTGGGTCGGCGGTTATCTTTCTATAGAAAAAAATTCAAGACCCTTGGGTCGGCGGTTTTTTTTTCTATAGAAAAAAATTCAAGACCCTTGGGTCGGCGGTTTTTTCTATAGAAAAAAATTCATGACCCTTGGGTCGAGGTATTTTTCTATAGAAAAAAATTCAGGACCCTTGGGTCGGAGTTTTTTTCTATAGAAAAAAATTCAGGTCCCTTGGGTCGGACTGTTTTTTTTATAGAAAAAAATTCAAGACCCTTGGGTCGCCGATTTTTTTCTATAGAAAAAAATTCAAGATCCTTGGGTCGGCGATTTTTTTCTATAGAAAAAAATTCAAGACCCTTGGGTCGGCGATTTTTTTCTATAGAAAAAAATTCAGGACCTAAATTTTTCTCTACAGAAAAAGTATCGGAATTTTTTCTTTAGACAAAGTAGCGATTTTTTTATTTGCATTAAAAAGATTTTGAAAAAGCTTTGTTCCCTTTAAATTTTTAAAATCTCTTTTTTGTACTCACCAATCTTTGCTATACTGGCCGACAATATCCATACACCAATAATGAATGGTGTCTTAACTCTATCGAATTCAACCTGAGCCAATGGATAACGTTCATGGCCCCCACTATGACCGCCATCATCATCACCATGATCATTATGGTCACCACCATCGTTGTCGTCGGAACGTGGCACCGGGTGACCTCCTGTCGTTGATGATTTAATATCATTTCCTGCTGCTGCCTGAGGTTCGCCACTACCAATGTATTTTTGTTGTTTTATGGCATTGCCGTTAACACTTTCCGGTGGTAGAGCGGTATTCGATGCTGGTAAAGACTGATAAGGAAGAAAAAAAAAACGAAAAAATATAATCAGTTAATTATTTTTATTATCGAATGTTAAAGGGGGGAATATTTTATGACTACATCGAAATTAATGAGTTATTTATGATTGGGGTGATTTTCGTAGAAATTCTTGTGAATTTATGGTTCCATAATGTAGGGGGTTATTCGATGTATGGAATTTTAATGGTATCTATTTGGGGACATTCCAATATTATTGATGGTAGCTTCGAATACCTTAACCCAACGCCATTTTACATATAAAAAATTCACCATTTTGGGCTCTTAAAATTTAATTTCCTCCCTCCCTCGTTCCTTCATATATCCTCAATCGGAAAATTATGTATTCCGCCTTTCATAGCAGGTGGCTTTTCATTTGTATAAACACTTAAAATTCAGAAGAAAATGAAAAGCTTTTCATTCAAATGCATGGCAGGACATTAAGGCCAATATTATCTCAGCATTAGCATTTAAATATCCTAGACACACACACACAATTTTACCCACACATATATAACCATCCTGCAGCCATCTGAATGGCATATTAAAAGTAATTTTCTAAAGTGATGGCAGCTGTTCAGGACGACTCATTTGCTTAATGCAAATTTTTATGAGAAAAAATCAGGACCCTTAGAACCATTAATTTTTAAAATAGAAAAAATTCAGGACACTTAGGACTGAAATTTTTTCTACAGAACTTTTTACCATAGAAAAGAATTTAGGACCCTTAGCTCTGCTCCTTTTTTCTGTAGAAAAAAATTTAAGACCCTTATGTCCGCAACTTTTCCTAAAAAAAATCAAGACACTTAGGTCCGCAACTTTTTTCTAAACAAAAAATTCAGGATCATTTTTTCTAAAAATAAATTCAGGACCCTTAGGTCCGCAACTTTTTTCTAAAAAAAAAAATCAGAAACCTTAGGTCCGCAACTTTTTTCTAAAAAAAAAAATCAGGACCCTTAGGTCCGCAACTTTTTTCTATAGAAATAAATTCAGGACCATTAGGTTCGCAACTTTTTTCTATAGAAAAAAAAGATCAGGACCCTTTGTTCCGCAACTTTTTTTTATAGAAAAAAAATTCAGGACCATTAGGGTCGCAACTTTTTTCTATAGAAATAATCATTCAGGGCCCTCACGTCCGCAACTTTTTTCTACAGAAAAAAATCATTCAGGATCCTTAGGTCCGCAACTTTTTTCTATAGAAAAAATTCAGGACCCTTAGGTCCGTAACTTTTGTCTGTAGAAAAAAATTCAGGACCCTTGGGACGGAACTTGGGAAGGAACATTTTTCTATTGTAAAAAAAATTCAGGATCCTTGGGACGGAACTTTTTTCTATAAAAAAAATTCAGGACCCTTGAAAATTAACATTTTGAAATAGAAAAAAAATCAATAAAGGCCAAAGAACAATATTGCTACCTACCACCCGGTCCGTCTGTCTGTCAGGCCTGTCAGCCATTCCAACAACAAAATTACCATAAAAACAACAAAATTATCATCAAGGTAGAACCAGAAAAAAAAAATTCGAATTGAAATTCCGTTGTTTGTTTTCCAATTGATAATGGCTCCATAGCAATGGTTATGATGAGGTTTGTTTGATAATGATGGGTTGTCTGTCTGCCTGCCTCTCTGTCCGATTGTCTCCTCTGGAGGCATCGAAATTGCTATGACAATAACATACAATGTTCCAACAGCAGCACCTACTACTGTCTGCGAAATTCTGCGAAAAAATATATTTATCTGATTGTCTGTCTGCTTGACAGTCCTCCAACCTGCCTCCCGGACTTTCGAACCATCGAGCCATACATTTGCTTCCATTTCAAATGGGTCTGTCTTTCCTAGTTTTTTGTTGATATTGACACTGTATTTACTGCCATAACTAGAGCGCGTTCGTTGGTTGTTGTTGCGCGTTGTTGTTGTTGTTGGGAGCTTCGAAAATAACACTATTGTAACCAAATTAAATGCAAACAAATGCGACGAGAACGACGTCGAATAACATCATCAGACCAAACAAGACGCCAATAAAAATTTAACCGTAACAAGGTAAATAGAAAACGAAGATAGGGACAGATATCAGAAACAAAGTCAACAACAACAACTTCTACAACACCTAAAACGAATGTCTTGCTAATTGGTAGAGGAAATAAGGAAACTTCGACAGGGCGAATTATAGGAAAAATGAACCTACAGTCCGACCCAAGGGTCTTGAATTTTTTTCTATAGAAAAAACAGTCCGACCCAAGGGTCTTGAATTTTTTTCTATAGAAAAAACAGTCCGACCCAAGGGTCTTGAATTTTTTTCTATAGAAAAAACACCTCAACGCGAGGTTGACGAATTTTTTTCTATAGAAAAAAATTCCGACCCAAGGGTCTTGAATTTTTTTCTATAGAAAAAATTCAAGACCCAAGGGTCTTGAATTTTTTTCTATAGAAAAAAATTCAAGACCCTTGGGTCGGCGATTTTTTTCTATAGAAAAAAATTCAAGACCCTTGGTTCGGACTGTTTCTTCTATAGAAACAAATTCAAGACCCTTGGGTCGGCATTTTTTTCTATAGAAAAAAATTCAGAAAAAAATCGCCGACCCAAGGGTCTTGAATTTTTTTTATAGAAAAAAATCGATTCCCAAGGTCTTGAATTTTTTTCTATAGAAAAAAATCGCCGACCCAAGGGTCTTGAATTTTTTTCTATAGAAAAAAATCGCCGACCCAAGGGTCTTGAATTTTTTTCTATAGAAAAAAATCGCCGACCCAAGGGTCTTGAATTTTTTTCTATAAAAAAATCGCCGACCAAGGGTCTTGAATTTTTTTTATAAAAAAAACAGTTTGTTGTTGTTGTGACCCTTGGGTCGGCGATTTTTTTCTATAGAAAAAAACAGCCGACCCAAGGGTCTTGAATTTTTTCTATACAAAAAAACAACCCAAGGGTCTTGAATTTTTTTCTATAGAAAAAAACAGCCGACCCAAGGGTCTTGAATTTTTTTCTATAGAAAATAACAGCCGACCCAAGGGTCTTGAATTTTTTTCTATAGAAAAAAACAGCCGACCCAAGGGTCTTGAATTTTTTTCTATAGAAAAAAACAGCCGACCCAAGGGTCTTGAATTTTTTTCTATAGAAAAAAACAGCCGACCCAAGGGTCTTGAATTTTTTTCTATAGAAAAAAACAGCCGACCCAAGGGTCTTGAATTTTTTTCTATAGAAAAAAACAGCCGACCCAAGGGTCTTGAATTTTTTTCTATAGAAAAAAACAGCCGACCCAAGGGTCTTGAATTTTTTTCTATAGAAAAAAACAGCCGACCCAAGGGTCTTGAATTTTTTTCTATAGAAAAAAACAGCCGACCCAAGGGTCTTGAATTTTTTTCTATAGAAAAAAACAGCCGACCCAAGGGTCTTGAATTTTTTTCTATAGAAAAAAACAGCCGACCCAAGGGTCTTGAATTTTTTTCTATAGAAAAAAACAGCCGACCCAAGGGTCTTGAATTTTTTTCTATAGAAAAAAACAGCCGACCCAAGGGTCTTGATTTTTTTTCTATAGAAAAAAATCGCCGACCCAAGGGTCTTGAATTTTTTTTCTATAGAAAAAAACAGCCGACTCAAGGGTCTTGAATTTTTTTCTATAGAAAAAAACAGCCGACAAAGGGGTCTTGAATTTTTTCCTAAGGAAAAAAGCCTCATTCTCAAGAGTCGTAATTTGTTTTCTATTGAAAAACCTTAGTCCCAAGTTTTCTGAATGATGTTTTCTATGAAAAATATGTCGCTTTCAAATTCCCCTGTCAAATCCATGCCGATTTAATTTTCCATAATTTAATTCTGTGACAAATTACAACAATAATTTTTTATATGATTTGAACGAATGTTTGTTAAACAAAACACCAAATGGGGGATTTGTGTAAATAATACATGTGAGGGTTTGTTGTTGTTGTGATATTGTCCACTTTGTTGTTGTATTTTATTTTTTCAAACAATGCAAAATAATCCAAAGTAATTTGTTGGCCATTTTGTCATCGCCGTTCGTATGTCGCGCACACACATGGTCGGCAATGTCATAGGCGCCTCTCCGCCTTTACGAACAATTGAATTCGTCGGGTAAATGATTGAATTGAAACGAAAGTGAATGAATGGACATGCATCAGTGTCGGACTAGACACTGAAACACCAAGTGACCACCATCAGCAGCAGCCACAGATAGATAGGTAGGCAGTCATAAAATGGACAGACAAATGGACGCAGCAATTCATGCCAGCCGTTCACCCAAATGTCAAATTGTTTCGCATTGTTCACAGATGTGTGTAACAACATGACAACAACAACAATACAAACAACAGCAATAGTAACAAAAAAAAAACCAAAACAAACAAACCAACACGCAAACAAATTAAATTTGCACTCTCGCTCGCTACAGGTATGAATTAAAAAAAAAAAAAGTATATTGGGATGACAATTTTGATGGCAATTGGCTCTCGAATTATTTTGTATGGAAAAAAAGGGGGAAAAAATGGGTGTCGAATTTTTTTCTATAGAAAAAAATGGGAGTCGAATTTTTTTCTATAGAAAAAAATGGGAGTCGAATTGTTTTCTGTAGAAAAAATATGGGTCTCGAACTGTTTTCTACAGAAAAAATATGGGACTCGATTGTTTTTCTATAGAAACAAAATATGGGTCTCGATTTTTTTCTATAGAAAGAAAAGATGGGTCTCGAATTTTTTTCTATAGAAAGAAAAGATGGGTCTCGAATTTTTTTCTATAGAAAAAAATGGGTGTCGATTTTTTTTCCTCCCTTCAACTAGGAGAAATATGGGTCTCGAATTTTTTACTATAGAAACAAAATATAGGTCTCGAATTTTTTTCTATAGAAAAAATGGGTCTCGAAGTTATTTATGGACATGTTTATGTAGTAAAATATTATGGGTCGCATGTTATATGCTCCCTTTAGCTCGAATTAGGAATTTTTCTATAGAAAAAATCGAGACCAGTTAATGAACTTTTTTTCTATAGAAAGCTA